TTTTGCTAAACAATTTGCTAACACATTACTCAAATTACAAAAAAAACAAACCAAACCCTATTTGTTTCTTTTGAATATAGTGTTTAAATTAAAATAGAAAATTATAGGGGTGCCTGGGTGGCTCAGTCCTTCAGCATCTGCCTTCAGCTCAGGTCATGGTCCCAGGGTCCTGGGATCGAGCCCCGCATCGGGCTCCCTGCCCAGCGGGAAGCCTGCTTCTCCCTCTCCCACTCCCCCTGCTTGTGTTCCCTCTCTCGCTGTGTCTCTCTCTGTCAAATAAATAAAATCTTAAAAAAAGAAAAGAAAAAGGAAATTATAGGTTTATGACAAGTATATGATATGATGCTATTTGGGGGGATGGCTCTGTTAACAGTAACACCTTCCGATTTTTTGTTTTGTTTTTGACACTTTGCCTTGTCTGTCTAGTTAAACATTTGACTAATATTCTGTTTGATTTTGGAAATATTCTAATATGACCCAAGATTTGAATAAAGTTTCTCCTGAAAAAAAAAAAAATCACTTTGAAAAAGCTCATCAGGAAGAGTCAGACCTGTGGTGTTTTGTTTTTTTTTTTTTTGTCATCTTTAGGAAAAAGGGGGTGTTGGAAACCTTCTCTGGAACAGAAACCGACAAGATCTGGCCCTATGTCTATGCTTTCCTACAAACAAAAGTTCCACAAATAAACCAGAAAGCATCAGTTACTCCATGAGGAAAAGTGCATATAACCAGTAAGATGAGCAGAGACTCCTCGCCTGTGCGTTTAGAAGCTCCTTGTTCTGAGACTGGCATGTATGAATTCTTGGACAATTATATTCGTTTCACTTCTACTGATTTTATTCTAGAAACTAAGGATGTGTCAAGTGAGTCTGATACTAAGATTCATCTTTTTGTCTAGTGGGTTTTGCCCAGGTATCTTCTATGGGTGTGCGATTAAAACACAATCAGATGTCTTAACTTTTGAGAAATCTTCTAAAGCATAATTAAAAGAGCAATTGGTAGTAATATAACTTTTGTTCAGAAGAGTAAATGGTTGATAAAAATTTTCTTATTTTTCTGGAAAAGCTAAAAAGAAAAAATTCCACGTCACTTGGTAAAGTATCTCATTAGAGAAATGTGTGTAGACTCTTGCCAAAAAAACCAGCATCGTCAGCGCTGTGAGACACTACGTCTGTCAAATCCTAGAAAACAAGTAACTAGATGTGCAGATTAGTTTCAGGATGCAAATTCACTGCTGCCTTTACACTAAGAAACTTATAAGTTTAGCCGTATATACTGTATTTACTGTGTTGTTAAACAAACCTTCAGTTTACTCAGAATTTTCAGTCTGCTATAAAATTGTGTTAAATCAGCATATAGGAAAATACTCAGGTTACCTAAGAAATATGTGCTTTAGGATCTACTTGCCAGTTTCTCTTTTTGATCACTATGTAAGGTCTGCTGTGATGAGTAACAGTACAAAAAGAAAAGAAAAGCTATGGCCCTAAGTAAAGCGAGCATACTTGGTCGTCAGGAAGTAGAAATGGATCAGGTATGCTTGGGGAGAATTCTCTTGACACACGTAACAATCATAATTAGTGAACTAATCAAATTAGTAGCAGTTAAAAGGATTTACGTGGAAGGTTGAAAAGGACCAGGAAAGTAACTGAGTTTGCTGAAGGAGTTCTTTATTCCTAATCAAAGCAGTGGACCCCATCCTCCGGCAGGGAGAGACCTCTGCCTCTGTGTGTGTACGTTGAGTAGCCATTTAAAAGTGAAGATGATTTGCTTTCTTAGTGGGGCAACAGGGATGCATGCTTCCGTCCTGTGGCCTGGTAGGAAGAGTGGGGCGAGGACAGGTGGAGGAGCAACCCAACTACATCTTCACTGGCCTATTTACTCTTCCTTTACTTGGTGCTAAATCCAATGCAACAAGTCCTCGTACAAGCTGTTGATAACTGCCTTTGAACGTCTGGCCCATGGTATCCCGGGTCCTTAAAACACAAATGCCAGCAGTGGTTCTTTATGTATTTTGTGAGGGAAGAACTTTTCTTTTGATTTTTAAAAATTCAATGTTGATCTTTCAGAATGGACCAAGGCTTTTAAAAAGGATTATAGGACACATTTAATTCTTTACAAAACTTTCTGTAATGCCTTATTTGAATGTTAATATTATGTGCTTTCTAAAACTGTTGTAAACTACTAAGCTAATGAATTATCACTAGGTTACCAGGCATACGTGAGTATTAGTGTACTACAATAAAATTAAATTTGGGAACAGTGGGTGTTACTTTGTCTTCGGTATTCCACAGGGCGCACTCCGTCCCCGATGTCTCACTGGCTTCTGAATTGGTGACTGCTTTCTAATAACTGTCTTACAACAGAATATAGGCTGGTTTCATTTGAAGCTGTTATCTCCTGCTACAGGACTGTGGGCATACTGGCCTTCCTAACACACGTAGATTTGGAAATCAAGAAGAGGGGTGGAAGAACATGGCTTTGAAAACGGAGACTTCTTCCCTGTGACCATTCCCTCCCTACTCCTAAAACACTGCACCCAAAGTTTTGCACATATATCCATTACTTTGGGGAACACCTGCACTATTACTTTTTTCCTTTATTAAAGCAAATAAAGAGAACTTGTTTTATGCTGAATTGGTTGGAGTCAGACCATCCTGACGAAGGCTGTCATTGCTGAGGAGCACATCCTGCTAAAGAACATAATGCTCAACGGCCATCATTACGATTTATGTGCCACATGGAAATATGTCTAGAGCTGACTGCCATGGCTAACGGGAGCCACCATCCTCAAAGGCTCATAAGGAGAACAGTTCCCTAACCCGTTACCCTATTTTCCAGAATACCAGTTATTCCGTAAGCAGAATGTGCTATGGGAAATGCAAACTGGCAGTACAATCCACAAATTTTCTCAATTTCATTTGAAATAGATTACACACTCACTCAAATTTCTCAACCCCAGCCCACAGCTACTTTTTCCCCAGGTATTTACAATGGCACCCCAGCAAAATAGTTTGGACACTTCATAGTTTGAGACAAAACTTACCTATGTTAACAACAAACCATGGTAATTACAGACCAAAGGTTAAATTGCTATAATGCCTGCAACCAACAGCAAGAATAAATTTGTAGTTTAAAACATGTAAGTTGTGTCTTCTCATCGACAAAAGAAATAGCTTTCTTAGTTTTGCAACTCAAGATTTTGATTTTGGAAGTTATTAGTTTAAAAATTTTTTAAACACAGTAAAAGCCAACCACTCTGTTTTGTGGGTTTTTTTTTTTTTTTTAAACTAATGATCATGGTTTTTCCATATACATAGCACTGACTGAAGTTAACGCCAAATTGCACTTTGGAAGGATTTTACCAAAGTAAATCAATTTGGTGATATTTCATATTTTACCAAGTGTTTGAAGAGAATCATGCTGTTTTAAGAAACCAAGTGAAAGATGCAGGATTTTTTTTTTTTTTATCGTTTTGATACTTATAAAAGAGAAAACTTCAAGTCTAATTCTTCAAGGCTTATGAGAATGGTTTTGACTTCATTATTAGATGCTAAGCAATTCATAATCGTTTCCTTTGTAACCACCCTCCCATCACCTTACCTAGTAAGCAAGCAAATACTTACTCCATGAGTCCAATTCTCGGAGACCTGTGAAATGGTACACAGTATCTATTACAGATGGGAAATGGATGCAAAGGATTTTAGGAATTTTTAAAATGTGTATGATATAGTGACAAAACTGAAATGAACAGCCTGACCTTAATCCTGACAAATACATCTCCGGCCCATATCAATTTAAGAACTGAAATACATGATTGATCTTGAGAACAGTATATTGACATCTTCTTTTTCTCTGAAAATGCCCCAAAGTTAACTTCAGGATCACTGCCTAAACCCACAATCAATTTTTTCATCCTGTAAGTAAATCTACTTATTAAACCAGACTCATGTTCTTTGATCAGCATGTTAATTCACTTTTAAAAGGGGAATAGGAATGTTAATCTAAAAGAACACCCCAATTTTCTAAAGAGAAGTTATAGGACATTATGAGCTTATGCAGAATTGGAAAGAGCCCACTAATGGTGTAACTGGATGAGAATGTTACCCATCTATCTCCTAGAGACGAATTTTGGATCAGTATTATCTCCACTACCATGGATAAAATGACACCGAGTTAACGGGCAATAAATGAAGTAGTAGCTACTTAATTTTTTAAAAAATCTTTTATTAGAAGGTTAATTTTATCAGATGAAATAAGAATCTTTGATGGATACTTTGATGTCAAAATGTTTCATTTATCTGTTGGGACATTTCATCTGTCTGGACAGCCCAGCAAGTCTGGACAGCCCAGCAAAATTCAATCTGAAATATTATTTATTATTATTTATTAAGAAACAGAAAAAAGGACATTTTTCTTAAAAGGGGTAGTTCTTAGTACTAAATCAGAATAAAAATAAAAAGGGTGTCAATTTACTGTTCTTAGTACTAAAGTACTGCTAAATATGTCAAAGTTAAAGTCTCTAAGTGCAAATCATGGCATTAGTTAGGGGCCCCCAGAGTAAACTCAATCGTATGTACATACAAAACACAGAACACTTCCCTTTGAAAGTAAAAAAAAATATATATATAGCTACAATCTTAAATAGTTCTTCAATAATTCCTGTTTCAGAGAACACAACCAAAACACCCTTCAGTAGTTTACTCAGTTTGTTGGTCATCTCTTTCCTCCCAGTACTTGGTCATTAACACCTCTAACTTAAAGAAGGCAAAGGAGATTCAAAACAATTTGGGTGCTTCCAGGCAGATCCTGAGGAAAGGTGAAGCTGAGGAATGGGAGGTAATGGCTCAAGTAACATTTCTGTGACATCAGGGATTTCCAGTCTCTATTTGACAGGAAGGGAAAAACAAGAGCTTACTCTAGAACAGGAAAACAAAACAAAAACAACCTTCTATAACTAGGTCATTAGTTTAAAAAAAAATTACAGGCTGATGAATACTACCATATAAATTAGTCAAACATTTTATTATAGAGTATATATTTTTATCAAAAGCACAAAAAGTTTTATTCTGAAAACCAGTAAGATTGTGATGTTACAGAAGTATGATTCAATAATTCCAGTCCATTTCTATGGGTATCACGTGCCTTATCACCTCAGTTAACACAAGGTGCAAATGAGGCCACGGTCACAGGTCTGATCACCATGTGGGTCCCTTAGCATTATTGGGTTTCTCAAATTGAGACATGTACTCCCAATCCCAGGCAGCCTGTCTTCCAAATGTGTGCTGCTACCCTCAATGGGACTGAGCCAGAGACTATACCCAATACACACCAAAGCCCATGTTCCCCTAAGTCAGAAGATGAATCCTCAATAATAAGAACAGCATAATTAAGCTATGTCATCTAATTCCAAGTGAATACTCAAATACCCTGGCACATCTGAAATGAATTCTAGAGGAAGTAGTAAAGCTCAGAAGCATTCTATGGTAACTGACCTAAGGACAGAAATGACAAATGTAGTAAAAGCCATTACCAACAAGGATCACCGAATTCTTAGAAGGAGTTGGCAGCTCGAGGCAGTTAGGTCTTCCAAGATTCCTCCTGCCTTTTAAAAAAGTCCTTGGGCTACATGAGAATGAAACAAACAACCACGATTTAAAAAATCAGATTATTCTTCCTGTTTGTTCTTACAGGCCATTAGTATTCTTTTAAAACTTGCTCCCTGAGAGATCCCAGACTATGTCAAGTAAAGAAATTAAGAGTGAGCTTGAACTTGATCTTATTAAAAAAAAAATCTATATTAGTTTTATCACTTTTTATATTACTATAACCCTTAATACTGAAAAGTCAACAGGGTAAAATTAACTTCTAAGTAATGCAGTTTTAAGAATACACAGGGGATAAAGTCAGTATCTATATAAAAATGAGATTATAGTCAAGGATTTAAACTGATGGTGTCGAAAATACAAATGTAATATTATTTTAAAGGGAAGGACTTTGTTTTAATTTTTACCACCCAGCTTATTTAGTAGATTATTAACTACTGATTTATTGCTTTTACTATGATGCAACACCAGACCTGACAGCGAAATTTGCAGTAGGATACAAGTACATTTTTATCTTTAATCATTTTTGTAGAGTAGGACATGTACATATCCACATAAAAAGAGACTGTAGCAGATGCCTCCTAGAATCAACCAGTTCTTGTAAACATTGCATTTGTGCAGATTTTCATACTCTGATTCCAAAACTGAGAACAATAAGATTAAAGGCAAATTTAGTAGCCAAAAAAAAAAAAGTCCAGTTTGACTTCCTACAACATACGGTACCACTCCTCTCTTCCAAAAAAAAACAAAACAAAACAAAAAACCTAGCAGCACATAAAAAAAATTTTACAAAACGTTTCAGTACTCTTTTTTCCCCTCCCATCAAAACCGAACAAAAATAAAGTGCAGCACCCATAAAAGTGTCAAGAAAATAGCCAAGTTCTTCCTTTCTTGTAACAAAATAGCACTTGGCCTCAGCAGTCTTAACCAAATCATACAGTGTCCATCATTTTGGATTCATCATCTTCTTTATGTACCACTGAGTTTAAACTGCAAAGAGCTGTATTGACAGAATACTGAAGATAATCTGGATTCTGGGGGAAAAAAAAAAAGAATATAGGGAAGAAACAATGGATGATAACAGTTTTATGCCAGTGTATGCAACTACATACTCAGTTTCACACAGTCTATTTCTCTGCAGTGTAGTACAAGTAAAGTAGGTGGGAAAGAAAATGGACTCTGAATTCAAAATTAGGTTGAAACCCAAGTGGATAAAGAAAATAGACTGGACCACTTGATCCAAAGAGGATGTGACAAAGACAGATATATGTAAAAAACAGAACTGTAATAAACACTAACTTTTTCTTCCTTTTAACAAAACTTGCAATTTAAATTATTTAATCATATAAGGTACATCTTCCATGTAATTCTATGTACAAAGCTATTGACAATTTAAAAGATAAATATGGCTTTAAGTTGGCAATGTGTTTTAAAGATTACTAATTACCACAGTAAATATTAAAAATGCAAAACACTTGAATAAGGAAAAAAATGCATTTACCAAGTAAAAATTATAGCTACCTTCAGAGTCTATTTTGGTTTTTCAAAGATTAAAAACAAACTCAAATGAGAAACTATTAATCTTTTGAGAGCTATGTAGATCCGTATTTTAAAAATTGAGAATAAAAGAACATTTTAATTTGGATTTTGCTTATTTTTTATTTTATTTCATTTCTTAAAAGATTTTATTTATTTGACAGAGAGAGACACAGCGAGAGAGGAACACAAGCAGGGGGAGTGGGAGAGGGAGAAGCAGGCTTCCTGCCGAGCCCAGAGCCCAATGTGAGGCTCGATCCCAGGACTCTGGGATCATGACCTGGGCCGAGGGCAGACGCTTAACGACTGAGCCACTAAGGCGCCCCGGATTTTATTTTTTAAACTCATAAATATCCTATCTGTATATTTCTAAAGCCAGTAAGAAAACCTTATTCAATAAATGCAAAAATAAAACTATTATTTATTAAAGCACCATGACTAAGAACATTAACCCTTAAGATCCAGGACCTTAGGAAATTCTTCCCTAAGAAATCAATTTTGTCTATTCAGTTGTTCAGAATATCTGCTAGCTACTCAGAGTTTTACCACCGTTATCACCTGGTTTCATTTGTTTTTGTTTATTTTATTTAATGAACACCAATGAGGAAAATAGTCCAAACGGGACAGATGTCTTAAACTTTCCCATCCCGTAGGGAGGCATGGTTTTCAAGATTCTTTTTTAATAAAGTACAATACGTTGTGGTTCCACTATCTGTAAAAGTCAAAAAGCTAGCCAGAAGCCAGATTACCCTATCAAGTCTTGATGAAGGCAGTGGCACCAATAACTGCCTGAGGTCTGGAATACTACAGCAATTTTGGACCTCAGTTCAATCCTGCCTCTACCACCTAATGTAGTGCAGTCCGGACAGAGAAAACTACTCATCACAATTTAATAAAATTAAAAGCTGGTCTATAGGATAAACCTAAGGTAACTGTTACAACACCTGTGTCCAAGAGGCCTTGGTTTAGTTCTCTCAAAACTAAGGATGAGGGTATTTGCTTATTTCACAAGATTACTGTCAACTGAAAAAATAAATAAAAGCTGAAGTGTTATGCCAACTTAAGTTTTATAAAAAATTATTAAGCTCTCATTATCCCATTCTCCAAAGAAACAGAGCGCTAAGACCTTTTCTGACAATGCAAGCCCAATTCCAAAGGCCTTCAGAACAGAGCTTACAATTTCTCTACCAAGACTGGACTGGAGTCCTCCAGAACTCATCATCCATCTCCCTGAGAACTGTAAGACCTCATCATGGAGAGACTTAAAAAAACAAAAAGCAATCAACATACCTAACCTAATCTACACTTAAATTCTACTGATTACCCCATATTTTCATCTAGTAGCATTCTCAACACATTTCTCATCCCAGTGACTAGTCTCTAAGAGCACATGACTGTGTCTCCTGTCCTGTTTCTAGCATATGATTCAACAACAATCTTAGTGCAGGTGAAGGAGTAGTGAAGTAGGATAGAAATCCAGGACTGGAGTATTAGCCATGTCATCAGACTAACTGCTTAACCTCCCTGAGCTTCAGTTTATTCATCCATAAAAATGAATGAAAATGAATCACAGGGCTTTTGAGAAGATGAAATGAAACAACATATGAAAGTGTTTTCAAATCTATAAACTGATATATAAAAATGGGATATAATTATTACGGTACGCTTTTCTCCCCAAAGCTTCCCATCACCCAGTCTACAGTCCTTCTGGGCATCTAGCTGAAATTTTATCCAGCCCTTCTCTCCCTCAGGAGGACTAGACCAGGATGCTCAACTTCTCCAACCATGAGTTATGAGCCCAAATGAACTAAGTCTGAACAATCCTGATAATATCAGCAACTTTAAAGTGTCAAAACCGTATAGCCCCAGCCCCCCCATCTCGCCAAGGGAGGCCAAGTAGCAGACTTGGCAGCTATCTGATACGTGCAGTAAGAACTTACTTCTCTCAAACTAGAAGCAACTTGTTGGTAATACAGGCCCCTTAGGATACTTTAATGTGTATCTTTTCCCTCTTATGTTTAGAACCAATAACATCCTTCTAAGTCTCTTTTTTCCTTTGTTTTCATTATGTGGTATCTTAATTATAGGTTTATATATTGGACTTGACAGTGTCTTACAGTCATAAAATTCCCTTGGAAAGACTACTTCCCTGTGGGCTATTTCTCAAAGAATGGAAAAGAAAATCATTACTATATTTAAAGAGCATTAAGAGATACTCTGTAGGGGGCGCCTGCATTAAGTCATTAAGCATCTGCCTTCGGCTCAGGTCATGATCCCAGGGTCCTGGGATGGAGCCCCGCATTGGGCTCCCTGCTCGGCAGGAAGCCTGCCTCTCCCTCTCCCACTCCCACTCCCCCGCTTGTGTTCCTGTTCTCGCTATCTGTCATTAAATAAATAAAATCTTAAAAAAGAGAGAGAAAAAAAAAAATAGAGAGATACTCCGTAGGACAAATGGAGGGGGAATATTACACTGAGGGGAAATATTACTAATTATGTAAAAATCAAGACCTTGATTATTTCTATCCTTGAGAATTAGTATTTTTGGCTGAGTTGAATATTATCAATTGCTTTCCTTAACTATAGCTTTGGCCTATGACTTACGTAACTGAAATGGTGAAATCATAGAGACATAAGGTGTAGATATTGAAAATCTCAGTCCTACCACTTTATGAGATTTAAAACTACAGGGCTTTCCTCACACTGTCTCCTGAATGAGTCTGCCCTTTTTACTGTGTAGGCAACAGACTGAACTGGCTAAAGCTGGTCTTAGAATCTTGGGGCCTGGAAATGAGAGATGACTGGGCTCAATTAAAATGCAACTAAAATCAACATGGGCAGCAACTTTCTAGTGGTAACTTAAAAATCTTCTGACAGAAATCCTTTCATGCTAGAAACACAGCTTTATCTAGATCTCACAGCAGAGGCTCAAAAGGTTAGTGAACATTACTAGCAAGAGCAGCTTAGCAGAAGGTGCATTAATGTATTAAAAATGTTACCTCTGGCAGGCAACACCAACATTTCATAAGATAATACCAAATAAACTCATGGAACAAATCACCTTGGCTGCCACTTGGATGTATGCTCTGAAGCTAATTCATCCTAAGAAATTCTTTTTTTTTTCCTTTTTTTTTTTTTAAAGATTTTATTTATTTATTCATGAGAGACAGCGAGAGAGAGAAGCAGAGGGAGAGGCAGGCTCCCAAGGAGCAGGGAGCCCGATGCGGGACTCGATCCCAGGACCCTGGGATCATGACCTGAGCCGA